ATAGATAGATAGATAGATAGATAGATAGATAGATAGATAGATAGATAAAAGAGAGGAAGTTCAACCTGAAACCTGGTCAGCAGGCTACATGACCACCTCAAGGATGGTAAAAGCAGTGGGTCATAAGCAGGGACATGCAGGCCTACAGCAGGGCCTGTCAGTCTTCCGCCAGTCTCATGATGATATTTTTCAGGTTTGGACACATCTCAACCTCACTCTTGCTCCAGATTGCTCCCACTACCCATCGCATGGCTTTCCTACCCACATATATTTTACCTTAATGAATGAGGCCTAAAATATGCAGAGCCTCAAACAATTGCAAGAAGAGCTTTCTCATAACATAGATGTTTAATTCTAAAGAATAGAAGGATCTGACATTACTTGTGTGAGATGCATGCATCTTCAATTCTATGGAGAAAGATGAATGATAAGAAGAAAAGAGAAGGAGGCCATCAGCCAGGGACTTTCTAAGATCCAGGGTGCCTTATGCGAACAGTGTGATATATTATACACCCCTGTCAACATTCTGCACCATCAGTTCTCCTTGAAAAGATCACTTCTAAAACAAAGAGAACACAAGGATTTTATCTAGTAAGGGGAGTTTACACGAACTTTTAGGCTTTAAAGTCACAACTACATCCCATTCAGATTTTGAGTATTCATGTAATTTTTTACTTAGTCAAATTTTACTGAATAATTTCCTTTTGGGTATTTCTGCATTGGCATGTACCCGAAATTTCCATTTTACCCCTTTCATTTAAAGAACTGAGAAAACCCATGACTTGCATGGTGATCCAGCTAATGGAAAGCTTTGATCTGCAGTTTATTTTCAAACCAAGAGAGCTAGACATTCTTTGTTCTTTGTAGATATTTCTAAGGTGTGGTAACAGTTGGACAGACTTTCTTTTGAATTGGTCCCTTTGGAAATCACCAAATGAACCTGAGGTAAAGAGGAAATTGTCCCACTTTTGTAAATATCTGTCTACAGCCTCTCCACTCTGACCCCTTCTTCTGACTTACACCTGCCTGGACTGTCACACATTCTCCATGCCAGTCAATTCCTATTGGTGTCTTTGAGCACACTTGGCCACTTTGTTCTCTTAATGACTCTTATCTTTCAACTAATTCACCACACTGGAAATTGCTTTGGGGTTGAAAGAACACAATCCCTAGCTCTGTTGAGCCTTGTATGTTATAGGGTGTACTGTTAAGACCTCCAGAGTTCTTCTTTCTTTATCCAGAAACAGAGATAATGATATTTATTTTGCCAGGTTATTGAGAGGCCTCCTAGGTGTATGCACTTGAAACTTCCATGTAGAGATCAGCTCCTAGGAACTGTCTGATGAATGTCAAGGGGATAATATCTAGAATTTTGCTGTACAATGGTATTCTAATGAAACTTTTAAAAGATTAAAAGAACTTTTTTTTTTTCTAGAGGATGAGAGGATTGTCTGAGATGGATCAAAATGACACAATAGAGGGAACACAAGCCCAAAATTAATCAATACTAAAGAATTGATTGGGTTTCTTATGAGGTTGTAAGGTTGTCAGCTTTTTACCTGACTCAACCTAGAAAGATCTGAAAAGAGAGTTTTGGGTATTTTCAATATTGGAAGATCTGTACAGGAGTATCTTAAGTTAACTGATATGGGAAGACCCATTCCACTATTGGCAACACCATTCCTTAGGCAGAGGGTCTTGAACTGTTTAAGAACTCAGTCTGTGCACTAGCAAGCATCATGTGTGTGTCCCTCCCTCTGTGTTCTTGAATGTATAGACAAAGTGACTAGCTGTCTCAAGTTCTTGCCTTGAATTCCTGACAATAATGGACTGTAACCAGACATAATGAGCTAAAATAAACCCTTTCATCCTCAAGTTGCTTTTTCCAGGATGTTTTATCACAGCAACAGAAATAAAAATGGGACAATATGTAAGTGTCCTTTCTTCAAGTAACATCTTTTTTGTGTTTTCCTCTTATTTAGATCTTTTAAAGTCCAGAATTTACCTATTATATGTGTTTCCCACTGCTGTGTATATATATATATATATATATATATATATATATATATATATATATAT